TCCTTGGGGTTAAAAAAATTAGTAGTAGTTTTTCTCCTAACAATATACCGCAAAGCAGAACAATGAGACAATAAAAGAACTACCACCGGCAGCATTACCATCACCTAGACTACAAAACCACACGAAACGGCATAAACTCTATGGAATCACGAAGACAATACGCCACGCCCAAAACACCACAAGAGCCACTTACCAGAAGAATTGGTTGCTGTCCACAGCCAAGACTATCCAATAACCCACACTTTCATCAGGCCTTATCATCAAGACTAATCCACTAAGGAGCAACCGAGAAGCATTGCTCTGAAACAAGTCAACAAGGGAAGACCAGGAGACCGAGGCTCCAACAACGATAAGAAAGATCTGAGCCAATCCGAGAATGGAGCAGCAATCTCTACCCCCGCCACTGGAAATTACCGGAGGTCAAACCAAGGAAGACAGATCGAATCTTCTCAAATCAATTTCCTCTGACTCCGAGCAGAAGAAACCGACGGAGAAGAAGCCCAATCCACATGAAGAAGCGATGCGTGGTGGAAGAACCAAAACTGAGCTTGGAAACAGGCGAGACACAAAACTGAAGGAGAAGCGAGACGACGACCACAGACGCCACTCCGAAGTCGCGCAAGGACCTCTCCTTCACCGGAATCGCCAGGGGGAGAAAATCTACAAAATAGATCCAGACCGATAGAGCTGCATGAAGCGAGAGATGAGAATTAGTCGACAAGCAAGTGGCCATGACGGAGAGAACCCAAACACTCAGGCGTGGCCGTCACACACGTTGGTTCTCCGACCCTCTCACCACGGAAACGAGAGCAAATCTAGATCATCCAAAAGGAAACAATCGCGTAGACAGTAGCAGAAAGGGGGAGAAGAGAGCCCTCTCGTGGTACCGGATGAAGCGGGAGACCGGAGAGGCGAAATGGAGGAGAACGGCGGAGAAACTTAGGTTTCGTTTTTGGGAGAGAAAGTCGTCGTGCGTGTAGATCTACACGCTCGACTTCGCGTTTGAAATTTCGTGATGTTGTATCTTTCAATAACTAATTTACTCGCTGGCTGGCTATAAACACTGCGGTAGTGGATATAAATGTCACGATGATGATGATCTGATCTGAAAGCCTTGCAAGTGTTACAAACTTACAATTACCGATATGATTCAACAACCGGATGCTACATCCGAAGTGACCCGAAAGCCAAGTTTTATGGCTGATGTTGTCACACATGTGTGTTACCATATACCAAATAAAAAATATATTTTCAAGAGAGTCTAATACAATTCTTCCGTATCATTTTCGGCTTTCTAATCACCAATTATGTGTCGATCTTGTCGTCATCCGCTTAAGCTTCACAGATGTTATAGTGATTTTCTTCCATCGTTAAGAGTCTACACTTTGCTCAATTCTAGATATCTTAGATTGT